ACTATTTCTTCTTTAACTGGACTACCTGGACTATTGATCCACAGGTGTTGGGTTAATTGGCCCGACCTCGCTAAATGCAATTGGGCGTCCGCTGATTCTGGCTTGATTGGGTTGACTTGGCGTTGTAATATCGCTTGACCTTTGTCGAGCGCCTTGTTTTGCTTACGAAGGTTTGACAAGCGTTGTTGATTGCCAAATAATTGACGAGCATTTCGTATAGCCGATTGTTCGCCAGTTGTCGTTATAATTGACGTAGCGATCGTTCGGTCACTGTGGTTGATAACCGCTTGGTTTTGTGTAGCGATCGTTCGGTCACTGTGGTTGATAACCGCTTGATTTGGCATAGTGATCGTTCGGTCAATGTGGTTGATAACCGCTCGGTTCATACTATACATAATGCCCCCAAGTCCAAGTTAACCAGCATGGTCTGTGTGAGTGGGTTAACTATAGGACTTCAAAGTTACGTTCGTTGGGAAGAGTAGTCATTGCGCACTGTTTCGTTTTGAAGCTTTAGGTTTTCCCGCTTTTGGGGGCAGCTGTAACGGCTTAGAAACAGAGTCGTTGGATTGTGCTGATCCTACAACTTGTATTGCTTCAGTGTCAGTTTTCCCCTCATTAATGCGAAAGGATGCGTGAAGCGCTTTAACCGCCACTTTATGATTTATGCTTCATTTACGTTTCTCCTTCTTCGATTTCTTCCTTCTCTCTTTCGCATTTATCAGGTAATCATGGACCCTTGTCTTGTTTTAGATTGTTCACCGGCGTCGAGGGAAGAAAGGGGGAAAAGTGGCGGTGTTGAAACGCCGAAAGCGTCGTCAGTTGGGATGCACCGTGAAATCACTACAATCCTTAGTGGTGAGAGTGCGTTTGTATATGGTAATGTGATTACCGAAAACCCAGACGATTCAGCGTCTTCGTCGTCCAGTGCTAATAGTTATGACTGGGCATCTCGTGATGTAAGTGATTTTGCTAGCTTGTTTAAGAGTAGACTTGTGTTGCAAGATTGGGTAGAAAATAGTTGTATTCTTAGAACCCTAGGTTACAAACCCTGTATAAAGTTGGTGGCTTGCCGGGAAAACGAAAGGGTTTTTCACGGAAGAGAGAACGCCGCCAACGATTTCTTCTATTTCTATTCTTCGTTGTTTTATGATATGTATGTTAGGTTACCTTTGAGTGTTTTCCAGATGGAGGTATTGAAAACCTTAAACGTTGCTCCCACACAGTTACACCCCAATAGATGGGGGTATATTCAGGGGTTTGCTGCTATGTGCCAAGCCTTGACTATTAGACCTACACCGTCTTTGTTCTTGCATTTCTTTAGGGCTCGTCCAGTTGCAAAAATGGGTTGGTTTTCCTTAATTTCTGAACTTGGTAATGCCCTTCTAGAGTTGTATTCTCAATCGTATAGAGGGTTTAAAGATAAGTTCTTCAAAGTGTCTATCGTTGATTTAAGACGCCCGTTCTTTTTTAACGAGGATAGGAGCCCTAGATTTCCTTTGTACTGGACGAAAAATCCATTGAAATTTACCTCGTGGTCTGAGGATAAAATGACTGTTGAAGAGCTAGATGCTTTGAACGTGCTGATTGCGCTGCCTTGCCCCTTTTCTTCTCGCCGAATCATAAAATGCCTTGAACATGATGATTTTGGCTCAAGGGTATTTGGTATGTTCTTCTTATTGGCCTCGTTGAGTATTATCTGACTGTTATTGACTGCTAAGATTAACCTGTGTTTGCAGATATTATGGGGAGAAAGGGACCTGTACGCGATTGGTTCAAGACCATAGACTGTGCGAAGTCAAGTAGTGCTCGTAAAGGCCAATCTTCAGGTGCTGCCCAACCTCCGCCGGTTGCGAGGCCTCCTTCTCTAGATGATGTGACAGTCATCAAGGAGCAGCCGGTTTTGAGGAAACGGAATGGTCAGGTCGTCGACAAAACAGCCACCAGCGCCAAAAAAATGAAGGAGGTTGAGGAGCCGAGCGATTGTCCTCTCCTTGGCGGCGTGTGGGATCCAGCTTTCAACCTTAGCCATAAGATTGCTTTTAATCTGGATAATGCTAAAAAGAAGGTTGTTGAAAAGATGACCGAGCAGCAAATGGCGGATGCGGCTTTGGAGTTAGCAAGCCGAGCGGCTATGGCCACTTGGCATTTAGCGTACGCGTCCGACAAGGGCGTTTTGAGGGTCGAGCTGCAGAAAGTTCAGACGCAGCTAAAGGAGGTGGCAGATGCTCATTCGCAATGTGAGCAAAAACAAAAACAATCTGAGCAACTGCTGATTGAAGTTCAAATGCTGTTGGGGAATGTGCAGAAGGCTGGCTTTGCGATGAAGAAAGAGTGTGATCAACTTACGGTCGACTTAGAGTAATCGAGGAAGGTCGTGGCTGCACTAACTAAGGAAAGGGATGCCTTACTCCTTACCGCCGCTGAAGATAAAGAATTGAGGGAGGAAATGAGCGAGGCAATAGTGCAAGAACATACTAGGGGTTTCAAGAAGGCCTTGAGACAAGTATCCTATCTTTTACAAGTGTCCACTGAAGGGGTGGAATTTGACCCGAGGAAGGACGTGTATGAAGGGCAGCTAATGCCTTTAAGTGAGATTCCGGAAGGTGTTCTTCTGGAATTTTGAAGAAGAAGCTGATGTTGGAGTGGCCACCGCCGAGGAACCCAGGGCAGAAGTTGTTGCAGTGCCTAATACTACTATGGCGGATGTTGTAATAGATTAGGCTTTTATGACTTGTTGTGTTTCCTTTGTCTTCTTTTCGAATAAACTTGGGGTACCCAAGACTTATATGTGTGATGACATTTGCATTTTGCTAATGTTATAATTGTTTAAGATACGCGATAAAGTATTTGTTGTCGCTTATTATGATTGCTTCGTGAATGGTAGAATGTCTTTATATTGGTGTGAGCTAGACGTTCTTAGGTGAACTTAATCTAGATTTGATATTCTGGGTGTTCTAGGGCGAACATCTATCAGAGGGAGTGTATCCCTTTAATTAGTGCGCCTGGGTATTCAAGGAAGAACATCTACCAGAGGGAGTGTATCCCTTTACGCAATGGTTTGGGTGTTCTAAGGCGAACATCTACCAGGTTGAACGGTTTTGTAGCATCCGTCCTTGGAATTCGACATTTGTGAGTGATTACGTTGTGTCGGAGTAAGCCTGTGAATTTTGTAGATCGCATAATATTAGATCGAAAGGAATCTGCCAGTCTGTCTCTTGAGAATAAAATAGATGAAAAATGGAACAAAATTCATTATTGTAAACATAGAAATAATGTTTTATAAACATGGAAATAATAAATTTCAACTGAAATAATATTTAAGGTGAATGGCGCTCCAAGTGTTGGGGATGGTTTATCCATTGAGAAGTTCGAGGCGATAAGCTCCATTCATCAAGTCCTCCGTAATGCGGAACGGTCCTTCCCAATTGGCTGTCAGCTTTCCATGTGTTCGATTCCTTCTTGCTTCTCCTCGTTTTCGCCACACGAGATCGCCTTCTTTGAAAGCTCGGGGTTTTACTTTGGTATTGTAGCGTCGAGAAAGCATCATTTTCTGTGCCGCTGTGCGAATAGTGGCAACTTCTTGCCGCTCAGGTAGTGTGTCGAGGTTAATATGCAACTGGTCGGCATTAAGGGTCATGTTGATGCCGCGTCTTAGCGATGACTCTCCAACTTCGACCGGCAGCATGAAGTTTCTCCTGTAGACCCATGTGGGGTGCACCTATATGCCCATAGTACTTCTGGTAGTTCATCTACCCATAAGCCTTTAGCCTCTCCGAGTCATTTTTTTAATTCTGTGAGTATAGCTTTGTTGGCAGCTTCTGCTTGTCCATTGCTTTGCGGGTGTTCCACCGAGCTGGTAACATGTTTGATCCCTAAACTCTTGAGGAAATCTTCTAATCTTTTCTCGATGAATTGCCTGTCGTTGTCAGTGATGATTTTTTGGGGCAGACCAAACCGGCATATTAGGTGCCAGATGAATTTTTGTACGCGTTGACCGCTTATGACTGCTAATGGTTCAACCTCTATCCACTTGGTGAAATAATCAATTGCCACCAGGAGGAACTTGTTCTGAGCTTTTGCGATCAGTAATGGTCCCACTATATCCATTCCCCATTGGGCGAATGACAATGGTGAGATAAGGCCATGCAACTCTTCAGGAGGGACGCGAAAATCGTTACCATGCGCCTGACAAAAGATGCACTTTTTAACAAACGCTTCGCAATCACGGTCGATCGTTGGCAAGTAATATCCTACTCGCAGCACTCGTGCATTGGGCGTGCGTTTTCCCGAATGAAAACCACATATCCCGTTATGAAGTTCTCGCAGAACGTAATTTACTTCGTCCTCCGACACACATTTTAACAGCGGTGTTGTATAACCACGTCTGTACAGGTCATCACCTACACACAAAAATCGAGCGATGCGTTTAGAGTCGGCTGAACTAACCTTTTCTCCCTGCTCCTGCTTCACCATTAGCTCTCGTATGCTCTGTCTCCAATCGGCTTTGTGTGTTGATACGTTAGTGGCAAAAGCTTCTACTATAGGTTTGTCGAGCGTCATCTTGATGACTGAAGACAGTTTTGTTTTCTCTCTTGAGTGGGTCAATTTAGATAGGAGATCAACTCTTGCATTTTGTTCCCTAGGTACGTGGATAATGTTAACGTTGACAAAGTCTTTGAGGAGGTTGTTGGCTTTATGAAAATAGCGTAGCAGTTGATTATCTTTGACCAGGAAGGTTCCGTTCATATAGCCGACCACCAATTGAGAGTCCATCCGACATTCTAATCCAACGACTGCTAATTCTCTGGCTAGAATCAAACCGGCAATCTGGGCTTCATATTCTGCTTGATTGTTGCGGGTTTGAAATCGAAATGTTATGGCTTGCTCGATGACAAGACCATTTGGTCCTTCCAACACAATTCCAACTCCTCCACCCCTTCTGTCTGAGGAGCCATCCACGTGAAGATGCCACACCGGCTCCGAGCTATCAGGTATGGGTGTTAATTCGGCTGCAAAATCTGCCAGATGCTGGCCTTTGACAAATCCCTGAGGTTAAACTCTTGAGAGCTCAAAATTGGTTATGAGGACGTTCTTAAGTTTAAGTCTTAGCTTGATCAAGTCTTGAGAAAGGAGAAGCTTGTGTTTAGTGTGTCTAAAGGTGCAAGCAATTATCTGCAACTTGATAAAGCTGGTGTTCATTCCCTCGTTTGTCGAAGGAATGTGTTTTCTGTTCTTATTATTTCATTGTTGTAATTGTAATCATCAAACTAATTTTTAGTAAAAAGTTAATCACTCTTTTTATAATGATTAACAGTGGACAAATAATCTTTTAATTCGAATCAGGATAAAATTCTGTGTGTGATTCTCTCTATCTCTCTTCATCTATTTTTTATAAATTGTTCAATGAAAGTTTAAAAAAAAAAATTTCAAAAGAACCAATTCACTCCTACCCTCTTGATTATTGTTTATTTTCACGCTCTTTAAAACATTCCGCTTTGCGATATCAATTTCAACAAAGAGCTCAATTCCTTGTATATTATCTCTCGAACGACACACTCTAATTTGAAGTTTGCACCATAGAAAGTGCGTTCAACGATTCAATTTGGTGAGTACATTTTATCCCATCCTTCGTAGTAATAGTTATCGAATCTAGGGCAACTTGTAGCTTCAACAATGGTCTCAAGGTTGATGGTTACTTCTTGT